GACGACGACTTCGACCTGGTCGGGGCCGAGGATGCGAAGCCGGAGATTGAGGGCGATGGGGGGGGCGGACGACAGAGCTCGGCTGCGCCGAGAGCGTTATGACCAGGTTATGGGCGCCTGTTTCTTGCGCCGCGATGGCTGCGTAGATGGCGGCGGGGGGCGGGCCCCGCGCCTGCGCGAGGGCCCATGTTGCCGCGCATTGGCATTGGAAGATGTGAGCGACAGCGTCGTTCCGACTCGCGAGCGCAGGAGATTCGACCCTGCCGAGATAAAGTGGACAGACGTCGCCACGATCAGCCCCCATGTTCGCAGGAGGTTCGTAGAGCAAGGCCAGCCCCAAGGCCGCGGCCAAACGCGAGTGGAGGGCAAACGCTCCTTAGAGCATCAAGCGGATTCATCCGGATGGCTAAATGAGGATTCAGCGCCCGCATGAAATGCGCCATCGCCGCGTGATATGCTACCGCACCAGTCGGTTCGCGATAGGCAGGTCATATTCAATCGCTTCGCTCATCCCGCCGGCCCGCGCTGGCGCGCGGCTGTCGAATGCCCGCGTGATCGTTGTCAATGGGGTGCTGCTGGGTCGTTTTCTTTGTTTATGGATGGCTGGTTTGGGGTGATTTCGCAGGCGGGGGCCATTCTTTGCCCGCCTGAACGCTCTGTTTCGGAAGGTGGCGGCTCGTGAATACGATCGCAGGGAATAAGACAACATTCTGCAGTGTCCTTTGTGCATTCTTCGGGCCCCTTGTCGCTTGTTGGGGCCTCTGAGTGGCCTCTTGGGGCGTCAAGGTGGCCTCTTGGAGCGGAAGGCTCGGATTGTCGGTTCGTGGTCTCCATCTTGGGCCTCTAGGGGCCCTCTTGGGGTCCTTTTGGACCGTCTTGGGCGCCCCCTGGGCTGTCGTGGGTCTCTTTTGGATTGTCGCGGGCCTCGCTCGGAGGCCTCTCGGGCCGTCTTGGGGCGGCATTGGAAGCTATTTGGGCCGTCTTGGAGCGTCGGAAAGGCGGACAGGCGAGGGCGCCTAAAACTTTTGAAAAAATGAAATCAATGGTTTGGGCGCTCTGAGGCTTCGTGGACGTTCATTGGGATATCGTTGGATGCCTCTCGAGGGCTTCTTGGAGATTCTCGGGAGTCGTTGTCGAGCCTGTTGGGGTCTCCTTCGGGCCCCCTTGTCGCCTTTTGGGGCCTCTTGGAGCTCCCGGGAGGCACCCTGGAGCGGAAGGCTCAGATTCACGCCAGTCGGTTCGTGATAGGCAGGTCCTATGTAGCGCGCCTCTTGCCGAATAAGGGCCAACAATTGTTTCGGGGCGCGGGCGCCCATTCGCCGACGCGCCCCTGTCACGGCGCGGGGGGGTATGTCGCGAATCCTGCCGTCGATGACCACCTGGGAAAATGCCGTCTATAGTAGCGCGGATGGAGTAGCCAGATGCCCCCATAGTTGGCCATCCATTATGGCGGGCCGTCGCATAGCACGTTCGACGCCCGCGCAGCATGCGCCATTTGCGCGGCAACCGCGCGGTCGACAGACGAGTCGTCATCCGGGGATGCAGAACGAAAGCGGCACCCCCGTGCGTTCCGCGCGCGGTGTCTCATCATTCCTTGGGCATTTGCAATGCGCCAACCCATGTCAGCATATCTGGTCGGTTTATCTTCCACGCCCAGCCGTGCTGGGGGAATCGGCATGACCGGTGGGCCCACAGAACGAAGAGTGGTGCGACCAGAATGGTAGAGGTCCAAAGTCACGCACCTCTGCGAATTAGCCATGTCAGATGTACTCTGGGAGTGCCCCGCCGAGGTGCTCGTAGATATTGGCGGGGGGCGGATGTCCGTGCGATTGGTTAGAGGAGCCATCACCTGTGCTGCGCTAGCGAGGACTCAGAGAGCCTGGACAGCCGCATGTTCCTGCTGCATCCCTCACTAAGTCACCAGCACGCGCGCGCCCCTCAAGTTCGGGTTCGTTCCTTCCAGAAGCTCCCTGACGAGGCTTCGCCCGTGCACCGTTAGATGAGCGAGTGAACACGGAGCTCCACGCAGACCTGGCGCGGCCCGCGCATACGTCTGCCTTCTACTCCCTCCAGTATGTTATTCATGTATCAGGTCGATCAGGCCTTGTCTGCCTCGTCTTCGGTTTGTCCGACATTTGGCTCAGTGATAGAATTGGCGGGCACGAGAGGTCGGAGTGGTCGGTCGTTTTGTGTCTCGTCTGCCCTTCAAGCGCTTGCCCATCCGAGAAGTTTCCGCGCGCGTCGGCGCGTCCGTCGAGGGCGCCCCGCGGCGCGAGACTGAGCAAGAGAATTGCCCGACGCGATGATCTCGAGCTTCCCGGGGCCATTTGCCCGCGCGCCCTTTCGCGTTCACCGCGGCGCGATGCGTTGCCATAGCACTTCGGCCCACCATATCAGGGTTGAAGATTGCCCATCGAGAAGGAGAGGCCGACGGGGGCTCTTGCCTATCTTCAGGAGGAGGCCTTGCAGGGATAACCCCTCTTTCCCTGACCGCCATTTGGCAAAGCATACTTCGCGCAAAACAACTGCCTTCGTCATCGCCCGAGTGCCATGAGTTTGCATGTGCTGGCCTTGTTCCAGAGCCCCTGCCTCGCCGCCTCCGCCAGTCAACTCTGGCGAGCCCTCTGATGCGTAGACTTTCGGGAAGTTCCGCTCTGTCGGCGGGGTGGCCGTGAGCCAGATGGTTTGGCTGACTGCCGCTCGCCATTCGTCCTAATGCTCCCATGTTCGCTGCCCCCTTCGCCCCCGCCGCCTACGTGCTGCGGTGGCCCCCGCAACGACTTGCCGGGTTTTTTCCAGCCAGGCCGTTCGAGGTCCCTCCGGGGGCACCGCGATCTGGGGGGAGCCACAATCTAGACGGGTGATCGAGTGCAAACAGGACGCAGCAAGGTGCCAGGGGGCAATGGCGCGAAGAGATTTTTTTCCGAGAGCAATTCGCGACGCCTGCCCAACCGCGCCCCCTCGCCCATTGCCCAGGCGAGTGTAGGCCCATGATTTGGAAATGCTCCGCGGCCGACATGGTTGTGGTACATCCATCTGATGAGCTCATTTTTCCCGCCCTGGTTCAGAAAGCCGTCGACATCGCAGGATTGCGCCCATGTGTTCCACGGGCCCGACAAGGCGATGTGGGCGCTCCGCCATACCTAGAGAGTGCCGTAAAGCTCTTAGAATGAGATCCTTCTTGTCGATGTTGGAGTCCTTGCGCTGGGTCGCTTTCAACGGCGCATCTCAATATGTGCCGACCTCACCTAAGCGGGCGATGCTGCCCTGCGTGCTTGCCCAGGCCACGCGCGTCGCAGATCGGTAGTCAACGTGCGCGGTGAGCCACAGAAGTGCCGTCGGGAGTAAAAGGAGAATAAGCCTGCTTTCCTGCCCCCGTCCACGAGCAGCTGCACGTTCGCACGTAGTCGAGCATGGTCAGCGCAACGAAACACGCAGACACAAGCACACAAACACAAAAACACACAAACACAACACAAAATCACAGACGCACACAAACACACAAACGCACAACACAAAAACATTGACGCACACAAACGCACAACACACTCAAACACACTGGCACACAAAGACAAACACGCAAACGCACAAACACACAAACGCACAAACACACACAAACACACAACTACACAAACACACAAACACACGAACACACAAGCACACAAAAAACAAACACACAAACGCACAAACACACACACGCACACACACACACACACAAACACACAAGCACATTATCACACAAGCACACAAACACACAAGCACACACTTTTGGCGTTGGTGGCTGGGCAGAGTGACTGCGCTGGCGGATGGAGCAAATGCAGGGCACACACATGCTATTTACGCCGCAGTGCACGTGAGGACGAATGGGAACCCCCGGCGCGGGAAGGAGGGGGACAGATGCCAGGCCCTCTCAGAGTGGGGCCAGGCGGCGGCGGGGCAGCGCCGGGACGGCGGGGCGGCGGCCGCGGGGCATCAGGGGGGGCGGCAGCCAAAGGCAGGCGCGCGACGCGGGGGAGGAACAGGCCCAGGCAGTGCTAGGGAGGGGCAGCACAGCAAGGCGGCTGAGCGCTGAAATCGAACCGATTTCCAAGCGACAGAGCAACCAGAGAAGACAACCTCAGGAGAAGGGCTGGACAGACACACACACACACATACACATACACGAACACACACACACACACGCATCAACACACAAACACACAAACATACAAAAAACACTGACACGCAAACACACAAGCACACACACACATACACGCACCCACACTTCCAGCGGCCCGCGCCGGCCTCCGAAAAGCGCCCCCTTCGTCCGCGCACGTCCCTCTTGCAGTAATGCGATAACCCCTGTTTTCTTGACCCTTCTCTCTTTACCCAAACCCCGCTGAGAGTCCGACTGGGCCCCAGCGGTGGCGCCAGGTCTGGGCGGCGCCAGAAGTCCGTGGCGCGTGGAAGAATCGGTGCCCGTGGCCTGCCGCGTTTTGAATCGGGAGCCCCCAAACGGTGTGGCGACCACACCGCATGGTGAGTCAGTGGGGAATCGGGGTCACCACGTGGTTTTGGCACTTGAGTCGTCCTCCGAGGATGTTTCGAGCGACCGGGGTCCCCGACGTTTCAAAACCGTGCCGTGAGGTTCGGGGGGTCCCGAGGTCACCACGCGGTCCGTCACCACAGGGTAGTAGGCCCCCAGATTGGAGTTGTCGAACCCACAGCGGCCCGCATTTCTGTCCGCGTCTGTGGGGCGACGGGTCATACATACAGCATTGCCGTGATGCCACGTCTAGTAATGTGCGTTGCGCGCAGTCGCAGCGTCCAGGAACGTCACCTCTGACGTCCTATCGATTCCCAGGGTCATGTCGACTATGCGATGGGAGGGCGGGCTGTGATGTGGGAACCGCCAATGGAAAAGTATTTCAATCATGCGGCCCATGACGCACAAGGGAATCATATCGATGTTTCTATTTGCCTTTCGCTTTCCTCAAGCTCGCCTGCTTTGTCTGCCAGAGGTGCCCGACATGGCCAGCCGGTTTATGCGCGTGGCCGATCAGATGAAAGGTTTGGCGGAGGAACGGGGTTGGGAAGGTGAATGCGCATGTTGGGTTCTAATGCATGTGCCCGCCTCACCTCATTTTGCCTATTCAAGCCGCACTCTTTGCACATTTCCCGGCTCTTCTCCCAGCCTCCATGTTCGACGCTTCTCGACGCGGGGGCTGCGCTTTCACCCCGTTTTCGCTGTGGCTGTACGTACGTGTGCTCCAGCCCAGTTGAGGAGCATTTGTTCCATCGCCATCGTGTCCGACGGCTCGCTTCGGGCTCTGCATGCAGACTCAATCGCTTGACCCGGCACTGTTTATCCCCCCACCTCAATCATTGGAAAGACCTAGCCCCGTTTCCCCGCCGTCCGTCACTCACGGCTTTGGGACCCTGGAAGGCCCCAGTTTGCCGAAATATCCTCAGAAAACGACCCAAGTCCCAAGACCGTGCGGTCACCCCAAATCCCCGCTGGCTCTGACTCACCACACGGTGTGGTCACCGCACCGTTTGGGGGCCCCGGAGGGGAGTCGTGAAACGCTGCAGCATCGTGCCGACTGGCTCGTGGACCTCACCATCACGCTCCACCCGTTTGCTCATGTTTGTTGCTGCCACCGCACTCCAAGATTGCAGGCGTCGGCGCCGGGGGCCGATGTAGGTTCAGCGGGAAATCGCATAACACAGCTGCTGTCTTCGAACCTTATCGAGTGTCATTTTAATCAACAGCACTGAACCGACGGGTCGACCCACACGGTGTGCCCCTTTCCTCATATTTCCCCTCCTGATCCTTCCTCTCTCCCATCTCCTGTCCCCCATCTCTCCCTCCGCTCTCCCTCCCACCTCCTCCTCTCCTCACATACCCCCAATGCATTTTTTTTGCATCGTGGGCCCCTGGGAGTCTGGACCCGTCCCGTGGGCCTGTTTCACATCTCGAGCTGTTTTTTCACTGCCCCTGGGCCCGGCGAGGGCCCCCGGAGGCCGAAAAGGTAAAAACACGTTATGTTTTTTCAAACAATTAGCCGGCAGCGTGCGCCGACTTGAAACAATATCAGAATCTCATGCGAGGACGGCTGGGACTCGTGACGTCGTCTGCAAGGGATTATGGCCTCGGGGACGCGAATCTGGCGTAATTTGCGGGGGATCGTCGCCTCGGGGGCGCGAATCTCAGGTCAGAGTGAGGGGGCCGAACGGTGTTACATTGTCCCTGGGTGCGTGGCTGAAGTGCGTTCCCGCGGTAAGGATTCTTGTTGTTTTGTGGGGTTTTGTTGTCGTCGTCCCACCCGCGACCCACCTCGCGACCCACCTCGCGACCCACCCGCGACCCACCCGCGACCCACCCCGCGATCCACCCGAGACCCTTCCCACGACCCACCCACGGCCCACCCTCGACCCACTTCGCGACCCACCTGCGACCACCCCGCGACCCATCCGCGACGCACCCCGCGACGAACACCGCGACCCACCCCGCGACCCACCCCGCGACCCACCCCACGACCCACCCCGCGACCCACCCGACCCACCCCACGCAACCCACCCCGCGACCATCCTCGCGACCCACCCCACGACCCACCCCGCGACCCACCCCACGACCCACCCCGCAACCATCCTCGCGACCCACCCGCGACGCAACCCCCGCGACCCACCCGCGACCCACCCCGCGACCCACCCGCAACCCATTCCGCGACCAACCCGCGACCCACCCCGCGACCCACCCCGCGACGCACCTCGCAACCCTCCGCGAACCACACCGCGACCGATCCGCGAACCACCCCACGCCCGCCCCCATCATTTTATTTAATCCGCAATTGCGGGGTGTTGCGTAATTTACGAGGATTGTGGTTCCAGGGTCGCGAATCTAGTGTAATTTACGAGGGATCGTGTCGTCAGGAACTACTGCACGAGGGAGCGCGGCCACGCGGGCGCGAATGGGGAATCATGTGCAGGGGATCGTGGCTTCGCGGGCGCAAGTCTGGTGCGATGTGCAAGAGATCGGGGTCCAGGAGCGCGGACGCATAGTAATCGTTTCGAAAGCTCATAGCCCCATGGGCGCGAAAGCTCATAGCCCCAGGAGCGCGAAAGATCGTGGCCTCGGAGGCGCAAATGTGGCATATTATGCGAGGGATCGTGGCATTGGGGACGCAAATCTGGTGTAACCTGCGAGGAAGTGATGGCCTCAGGGGCATGAATCTGACGTATTTGCGCGTGTCCTGCGGCCGAGGCACTTCTGCGAACCCCAGGGGGCAATGGTAAATGGGTGGTTGTCGTCCCCCCCTCCCATCCCCTCGCGCGGACAGTAACAACTTGCCAGTAGGAAACAGAAGCCAGGACTATGACATTGAAAAGTGGAAAATGGTACAGGCACAGGTTGCAGGAAACCTCATCCGCGCAGCCTGGTGGCCCCCACTGGGGCTGACGGAGTTGCTCTTCGTGACCGAATGTCACGTGTGATATTTGATCGTGCTTGGAGGGCGTGTTTGCCATGCACGTGCAGTAATATTTGCATGTCCGCCTCATTTGTGGAGCGAGCCGCTCCCCGAGACGTTTTGTCGGACGTTGCGATGCGGTGCGAGAATTGTGCAAAGAAAGCGCACCTCCACCCCCCTTTGCCCCCCCTCCCCCCTCTGGGGCTGGGCCACAGCTCTGGCTCTGGATTGCAATGATGTCTCGCGAAAAGACCACCTGGACCACCCAGGTGGGTGTGTGGGTGCTCTCTTGCTCCCCTAGAGGGAGATATGGTCCCCCCTCCTCCTCTCTCGACCCGCACGCCAGTCCGCCCCTTCCCCGCCGAAAAGTGGAGGGGTCAGGCGGTGGTTGTGCCCGAGGCAAAGGCGCGCGCGGCCGCTCCACACCTGGTTCTATGGGAGAGTCGGGCCCCAGGGGGGAGGAGGGGGAGGTGAGGGAGGCTCCCTCCCTCCCTCCCGCTCCTCATCCCTCCGCCCTCCCTCCCCTTCTCCCTCCTTCCCTCCTTCCGCCCAGTGGGAGGGGCCGGATGCAGAGCGGAGGGTGACGTGAGGACGGGGGAAGGAAGGAAAGGAGGAGGGAGGACGAGGAGAAGGACGAAGAGGAGGGAGGACGAGGAATAGGTAAAGCAGGAGGAGGGGAGGGAGGCGGAGCTGCGATTTCGCACGGGGTGATTCTCCGATCGGTGTGTCTGAACACCGCTGCGGAGGAGGAGACCAGGTTGAGGAGGTGGAGGAGGAGGAGCTCGCCGTCGCGGCAGCAGCCCGCACATAATCGGGATGTCAGGGAAGGCTCGGATCGAGCCCATCCTACCTCTTCCCAGCCACTGCGCCGCAGACAGAAGGCAGGCATCCCAAGCCTATCTAACCAACAGTGCGTTCAGGAACGTTTGCTTGGCGTGCTGGTCCGCTGGCCCGCTCTTCGCGACACGCTAACCACTTCCCAACTCCCAAGCTTTTACCAGTCTCCTGCCCCACGATGCGGAGCGAGACGCTATCAGCTCGCAGGGCATGCCGTGTCGCTTGGGCCGCCACCGCGACACGCTAAGCTAAAGTTCCTGACCGGAGTTGGTCCCCCTTCATCCTCCTCCCCTCCGTCCTGCTCCTCTGCTCCCTTTCTCTTCCGGCGCAGGCCAAGACCTTGGTGGCGCACAACTCTTTTGTGGCCACGCTCCCTGGAAGTCTTGGGGAGGCCCCGCCAAGCGAAGCGTGCTGCGGGAGGAAGAGGCGCAGTGCTGGGGACGGGCCGACTTGGAAAGCAAATGGATGGGCGAGAGAATCGGGGCAAGCAACACGACCAGGAGCAGGAGTAGTAACACCAGAATCAAAAGGGACAGGATGGCGTGGGCGAGTCCAGGCTGCACACCACTCAGACATCCGCTGCCGCTTTTCTGGCCAACCCCCGAGCCCATCCGCAAAGCCATCACACACTAGTTCACCTGCTCTGGCGCGTAGATACTCGCGCTTCGCGCTTAGTGGCCTGGGCCGAAGAGGCGTTGGCACGACGCCTTTTCGGGCCAGGCCAGGCCACACTGCTGCCCCCCAGAGGAGTAAGGAATGAAGGAATCGTTACGTACGAGCTGCGCGCGCGCCCAGCTGCATGCCCTGCGGGGTCAGCGGGAGTTGGCCTGCCCATCGTGCCATTGGCGATTTGGGGGGATTGGGTACACAGCGTGACACGGACGACGGGCGCAAGCACGTGCAGCAATGATAGCGACACGGGCAGCAGGGCAGAGGGGGGGGAAGGGAAGGAGAAACACGCAGCAGGGCGGAGGAGAGGCAGCGGGGGGCCCGCGTGCGCGCCCTCCCTCGTTTCCCCCCCCGGCGGGTTCCCCGGCCTCTTCTCCTTTTGTTTGACGTCTCAAGGGCTCTGAGCTCTGGCAGAAACCTGCGGCCCTCACAGGGGGCCGCTGCAAAATCTTGCATTCTGAACAGGGGCGGCCGCCACTTCGTCGGCGACACGCGCTGAGTCGGCTGCGTTTTGAATTCGACGGCGGCGCCGCCAATGCGTCGCAGCGCTGCCGGCAGCCTTTGGGGCCGTCGGTTGCTCCGTTGGCGCCTTTGGAGGCGCAGTCTCCAGGTCAGCGGTGGCCTGGCCGCGCAGAATAGCACGCGTCCGCTGGCCATCGGGCTCCAGTTTGGGCCTCATGCTGCGCTCTCCTCTCTTCGTTCAGAATGGCGCTCGCGTCCCAACGCGGGCCACTTCTCTCGATCCGAGTCATTCCTCATCGTTGTTGCCCCCTCCTTTACCCTCCTCCGCATTCCCTTGGTCATGCTCGTCCCGCTTCTTCCACTCCAGCTCCTGCAACTAAGTATTGTTCGTCCTCGTTCTCCCCCTTCCTCATCCTCCTCTGTTCCCTCCTGCGCATCCTCCGGCTCGTCCGCCAGCTCCCCTCTTCCGATTGCGTATAACCCGATGGGTTCCAAGATGGGTCCTACATAATTCGCGCCGGCGGACAAAAGTACTAAGTCAGCGAGCGCAATGGGAATGGATGTGTGAGACGGGTAGGATGTCGGATGGCGTGAGCGCTCCCAGCTTGTCCCTTTCCCTCTCTTCTCCCACATACCCCCTCGCCCCCTCTCCCCTCCTCCAGACGTGGAGCTGGTCCGCATGCTCTCCGTGTTGGCCTGCATGGCCTCAGGCGCCACGGGTTTTGCAAGGGCCTGCAGCTTCGCCCACGACTGAGAGGCGCTCTCCAAGATGGGCAGGGCGGCGCTGGCGAGGCTGGCCAAGCGGCGCAGGCCGCATGTGCCCGAGCGCATCGTTGTGGAAATCGACTGGCTCGGTGGGCATATCAACGTGACGCTGCCGCGAGCGTTGGACAGCCACTCGGGTGCGGCATCGAGCTCCGCGTGATCGACATCACGCTCGGGGCGGGCGCTATCACTCGCGGTTTTCGCCGCTCGCGCACCCTCCCCTCGCTTCCACTCCTCCCCTCGGCCTCCCCCCCCTCCCCCTTCCCCTCCCATGGTCCATGTCGATCCGATCGGTAGTACGATTCGATGTCGATTTCGGCCGGCCCGATCCGATTCGATTCCGATATGATGGCAATCCGATGCGGCCCGATGCTTGCATGGCGTTGTTGTGCATCCTGGCGCAGCCGAGCCGATTCGATTTCGGTTCCGTGCCGATGCGGCCCGGTTCGATGCAATGTCGGTTCATCCGATCTATAGACTTACGCCACATCCGCCGACCCCTTGATTTAGTCTAGAGGGACACCCTGAAGTGCAAGTCGTACACGTTGGACCCGCTGAAGCGTTGGGCAGCGCGCGAATGCTCGGGGTCGCAGGGGCGAACAGGAAGAGGAGGGGCAAGTCAAGGTAGAGGAGGAGGTGGAGGAGGAGGAGGAGGAGGAAAAGGAGGAGGAGGCAAAGATGGAGGAGGAAAAATGAGGATCTGGTTTGCGGGCGCGAGGCTAGGCCTCCATAGGCCATTCAGGACGATTCTGCCACCCCCAAAACGCATGGTTTCACTTTGGATCTGGAGGCACTGTGCGGGCACCCGGACTGCGAACGGGAACTGTGGGCTTGAGGCCACTCGGATGGCTTATGGGGTCTCGTGGGAGGGCTCTTGGGGGCGTGTTGGAGCCAGTTCTGGGGGGCCTCTGAGGGGCCTCCTAGGGAGGTCTTGGGGGCCTTTCCGGGGAGATCTTGGGATTCCCTGGAGGCCCCTTGGGGTTTCTCGGGTGTTTCTTCGGACAACCCGGGGGCCTTTCTGGGGGCCGACGGGTCGAACTTTCCGGTCGGGTTCCGTTTCTGGGCCTTTCTGGGGGCCGGTCTGGGGCCCTCTCCGGCCAGCTTGGCCCTCGTGGGGGCTTCCTGGGCCGTCTAGGACGCAGTGAAAGCCCCAAAGGCGAATCTGCTTAAAACATACGTCTTCCGAGGGGAATAGGACGACTTGGGCTTCGGACGGGCCCCAAAGACCCCGAGACACGCCCATTGGGAATGCCCATGTAACAGTGCTTCGGAAAGCGCAGCTCCAGCTGCAGTCGTGGAGCGAGCGCGCCTTGATTGTGAAGAGCTGCCCTGCTTCTGGCACCGAGGCCTGGTGCCAGGCTCTTGGGTTGAAGTGGACCCCCCCCAGTGATTCGCCCCCGCCTCTCGACCTCGACCTCTCGCCCTCGGAGTTGGTGTTTCCCTGTGGCGTGGTGTTTGGAGCTGGCGACGCCAGCGGGGGGGCCCACTCAGCCGACCCAAGACTTAGACGCATAGGTTGGTCCACCCTTATTTTCCAGGATGGAAGCCACCTCCAGGAGAGCAGATTGTCAGAGATCAAATCCTGGGGTGGGCCGCTTGAATTAAAACAATCCGTAAACAGAGGCGAGCTCCAAGCTTTCGCAACTTTTTTGAGGGCCATAAGGCCCGTCCCGATTGAATTCGAACGCCAGTTTATCACCGATTGCGCTTATGTCCTCCGCGGCTTCTCAGCTATAATGCGCGGAGGGTTTCCCACCAACAACATAACCGATTGGCTAGAGTTCCAAGCGGTGATCAGAGACACGTCGCGGCGGCGGTCAGGAAACATTTAGCGGTGGTCCTCCTTGACTGTGCTTCCCACCGTGTCCCTCCTCCGCCGCGGCCCAAGGTTGAACGTCCGAAACTTTCAAAGCATGCTCGTGAAACTTTAAGCTCAGCCGTGCCCTGAGTAATACGCAGCATAAGATCCCGAATACTCACCGCCGTTTTTGGCAGTGCCCTTTGTGTGATGGACGCACGGCTAGGAAATTCGCGTACGATTTTCTGAAAACGCCGTGCCGTGCTGTTGCTCGCTTTGTGGAGCCGACGGTGTTTCTCGGCCGAGTTATTCATCAGACTCATCGACTCCAGACTGGGGTCCAGGGCACTGTGTTTTGTTCTGCGTGTGGACTGTATGGCCGATTTCGGGTCCGTTCCGATGGCTTGGGCAAACCTTATAGACCGATCACGCGCCGTGGGCGCAAGAATCTGGCGGCCCTCTTGCTGGGCCAACTTCCACAGCAGAGGGCAAAGCAATGCAGAACGGTGGTTTCTACTAGACGATCTCTTTAGGCTTTGCCGCTCCGCGGGCTCCCCCCTTGTCCAGCTCCTCTCCCGCCTTGCTTTGCCCTGCTGGGCGGCAGAGTGGAGGGAGCCCAGTGGCGGGATCCACCTGTCCTTTGGTGGGTGGCCATGCCCATCAGCCAATCTTCTCGTTGGCCTTTTTCGGGCACTGGCGTTGGCCTCGGGGGTCAACCGAGCCCGAGGGCGGTCTCTGCAGGTGCTCGTCTCGCCTGCTGTCGCCCCGTCGCCGTTCGCTCGATTGCACAGTGTCGAGCTGGTTGGCGCCTGCACCTCTCTCGCGCTTTCGCGCTCCTCCAGTAAACAAATCTTGAGCCGTGTGGAGGTCATCTTGGGCGGCTTGGAGCGATACTTCGGCGAGTCGGGGCCCTCGTGGACCGTCCCGGGGGCCCCTTCGGAGGCCTCAGGGGCTGTTTTGGCGCTCCAAAGGGAGCCGGGGGAGGGCCAAACCCTCCAGGTGAGTTCGGGGGTGGGTCGTGCCGGGCCCGTGGGGAGGGGTCAAATTGCCGGTTTGGGGTCCCGCGGGAGGGGGGGATTGTGGGGGGGGAACACTCACACCCCTAGGGACCCACAAGGGGTCGGCGAATTTGCCGATTCGATGATGCTGACTGATCCTGCCTCTCCACGCGCTCCAGCAGGGGAGTGGCGAAGGCTTCGACTATGCTCAGGATCCTGTTCCTCCGGCCCCTTCCCCCTCGCCTGTCTTCCTGCTCCTTTCGCCTCCCTCTCCTCCCTGTCGGCGATTGCTCAGCCTGCCCTTGCCCAAGAGGGTTTCGGGGTGGCTGGGGTCCTTGCAGCATGGGGGGCTTGAGGTCGGGGGGGGCCCGTCAGTGTGAGGGGGGAGGGGGGCGGGGGTGGATGTTGCATCTTCGGCAGCCCAGCCTGCCCCGACCTGCCGGATCGAGAGAGGCAGGGGTCGGCAAGGTAATCGGAGTCAGAATGGATCGCCTCGCCTGGGATCCTCCGCCGCCTCTTCGGCCGCCACTCTGCCCCGACCCTCCGCGGGTCGGGGGTGGCTGGGTCCGGAGCCGCGAGACGGGCATCTGGCTCGGAGTGAATGCGTCTTGCAGGGAAGCAAGATCCTTGAGAGCAAGGGGGGATGCCAGGCTTCGGCTATCCCCTTGCACCCTGGCTCGATATGGCCTGCTGTAGGGCAGAAGAGCGGGGACACGGGATTCGGAAGGTGGTCACCATTTTTTTTTCCCCCGAGGCCATTTGGAAGTGTTGCGGTTTGGGGATTGGTTCGGCAAGGAGCGGATCCGGTGGCCACCGCCTATTGCGCGGGCAGGTTGAGGTATGCCTTGCACGGACTGGCTGGTTGTCCCCGGGGCGGACTATTTTTGTAGAGCTCCTTCCCTGCACCCAAGTGCGGCTCGTCTGGGACCTCTGGTGTTTGGGTGACTGCAGGCCCCAGGGGCAGCAGCAGAGGTGGATTCCCTCCCACCCACCCGATCCGTGGCCGAGGAGGGCCGGGCCATGATGCAAGAGCGCGTTTCTTCATGTTCGGCGACGACGGGCGTCATGGGGAAGGGGGGGGCGGAAGGGGGGGGTATGACGTAACGCCCCCCCCCGCCGTGTGGCTCCGGCACCACAGCCGCGCCCACGCGCACGACGCGACGAGCGACGAGCGATGGGTGGCGATCTGCCCCACTGCGCCTGTGCACACCACGACGCTCGCGTGCACCACAGCGCTCGTGTACACCACAGCGTACACCGCAACAGCCGTGTGCAAGGCAGCGCCTGTATACACCACAGTGTTTGCGTACACTACAGCGCTGGTGTACATGTGTACACCGCAGCAACCATGTGCAACACAGCGCCTGTGTACGCCACAATGGTTGCGTGCACCGCAGCGCCCGTGCACACCACTGCGCCTGTCTACACCACAGCATCCGCGTGCAACGCAGGGCTGGTGTACACCACAGTGCCTGCGTGCATAGGACAGGTAGAAGAAGCATGTACGTGAGGATTTGCTGCGGAGAGTTAAACGCCACGCCAAGAAAGTGTTGATAATCGAGTGCGACGTTCGTCCCTCCCTCCTCCTCCTCCACCTCCACCTCCACCTCCACCTCCTCCTCCTCCTCCTCCTCCTCCTCCTCCTCCTCCTCCTCCTCCTCCTCCTCCTCCCTCCCTCCCTCCCTCCCTCCCTCCCTCCCTCCCCTCCTCCCTCCTCCTCCTTACCCCCTGTCGTGCGGGTTGGCGCTACAGCGCACGTGCGCATCTCAGCGTGCACCGCAGAATGGTCTATTGAACCGTTCCGCTTGGTTCTCGGACGGCCAAATTAGCTGGAGCTTCGTGGACGCAAACGAGAAGAGTTAAGGTGATGCGGGCGGACTCGGGGGGACTCGTAGATTCCAGCGGCGCTCCTTTGTCCAGAAGGATTCCTTTTTAATTCCTTCTTACCTTATATATGCAACAGTGATGCTGTATTGCACACGGTTGTTGTGGTGCACATATGCGCCATGGTGTACACAGGCACTGCAAAACACGCAGGTATTGTGGTGTACACTGGTGATGTGTTGCACGCGGCTGATGTTGTGTATGCAGGCGCTGTGTTGTACACAAGAGCTGTTGTGCCCGCAGGCACGGTGGCACAAATTGACGCTGTGTTGCACGCGGCTGATGTAATGTGCACAGGCGCTGTGGTGCACGGAGGCACTGTGGTGTACACAGGCGTTGTGGTGCAGATCGCCACCTGCATGCTGGTGCTACCCGTCTTCTGTCATTCTTAGGCATTCCCACACGCCGCCGGCGCGAAACTTGACGTCATCGACCCCCTTCACCCCCCCCGGATGATTGCGGGTCATCGGCCCCGAGTAAATAATTGGCTCCAGCCGCGTCCGCGCGCACGACGACGACGAGCGACGACGACGACGACGACGACGACGACGACGACGACGACGACGACGACGACGACGACGACGACGACGACGACTGCGGACCAGACCCCTTATGCGGATTCCTACGCGGATCCCAATGCGCACGGCGGCAAAACCCGCAGCGCATTGGGGGCGAGCGTCACGTCATAGGGGGGGGGAAGCGGGGGCCATGACGTCCATCATGCCCCAAACAATAAACAAACGGGCTCCAAGGCGAGGCCATGCCGAGGAGGGGCCCCCCTCCCGGCTGCCCTCCGACACCTGTCCCCGCAGCGCCCATTCCCCGCCCCTTGCGGCCGCCATCCATCCCTCTCCTCCCCCGTCCCCCCCCCTTCAGTATCGTTTAACCTATCCCTATTCCCGCCCCCATCCCGATCCCCACCCCCTGCCCGAAGGACACAGCCTACATCCCCATCTAGGGGGGTAAATCGGCCCCAGTGGGGCCCAGGCCACGCCAGCGGGGATAGGGGACGGTTAAACGATGTTCACTTCTGCCGCCGCACTGGGGCCTGCGCGAGGCCGCCGCGGCCTGCGAGGGGCTCGTGCCGCCCATGCAGGAGGTGGTGAGGCTTCCGCCCCTCAACCCTCGTGCGCAAAACAGGGAGGAGGCGGAAGAGGAGGAGGACGAGGAGGAGGAGGAGGACGACGAGGACGAGGAGGACGAGGACGCGAAAGAGAAGAATGAGAAGGAGGAGGAGGAGGAGAGAAAGAGAAAGATGAGATGGACGAGTTTATCATCCTTCCTCTTCCCCGCCGTTCTCGTCCTCCGCACATGGCGAGGAGGACGAGGAGGACGGGGGGTTACGAACCACGAGAACGAGGATGAGGACAGACCGGGAGAGCGAGGACGAGGAGGACAGACCGGGAGGCGAAGGACTGAGGAGGGCAAGGAGGATACAGAGGGGTGCGAGGGGCGAGGAGGACGAGGAGGACGGGCCAGGAGTCGCAGGGCGAGGAGGACGAGGAGGATGAACCAGTCGGCGAATGGCGCGGAGAACGAGGAGAGAGGACCATGGGGCGAGGACGGGGAGGAAGACGACGAGGAGGCGCAGAGCGAGGTGAACGACGAGGATGACGGTGGGGCGAAGGATGAGAGGGACACCATCATCCTCATCCACATCGTATAAAGCAGGCTGGCCAGCAGAACCTTGCGCGGATTGAGAAGGGCCTCATGTCTGGAGGCTCTGCGTTCGCGAAGCAGTACAACGAGGGCAGGAAGAGGAAGTGAACTCCTGGTGCTGGTGCGCTGTCGGTGCGTCAGACCCGACCTGGCCGAGCATCGGTCGTGGCATCCACAGGAGCTTTGCCACAACAATCACCCCCATCATCGCCATTATCAGATTAACCTCCCGTCCTGCGCCCCACCCGCTCCACTCCGCCCTGTACCTCCTGATTCCCCCGAGTCCTCCTCATGCCTCCTGGCCCTCCATTCGGTTGATCCGCAGCCCTGATTCCTGATCCATCTCAGACCAGGAGCGCAACAGGGGAAAGGCGCCTGGGCGCGGGTCCGCGCATAACGAGCGGCTGTAAGAGAGCCGTGCTGCGACACCTGCGGTTCGGCAAATTTCATGCGAAGATTAAAGACCAACGCGTTTCAAAATCAGACACGCGTGACATGTAGTGTGTTCACTGTTGCACGGCCGTGGCAACGTTGCAATTCATAACGCCTATCGGGCGAAATGGAAACACATTTGGCCTCGGGCGGTAGGTACTTCATGAGAGCTCACACCGTTTTGGTCCCATGCGCAAATCAGACGAAATACGTTCCGTCAAGCATTTGCACAGCTCGGGCGGGTCTCCGTTCTGAAACCTGCGTCTCCGTTCAGGCTCAACGCCGTTCTATGTTATACACGGTGTCTGCAGGCTTCACCCCCAGGCATCGCCGGAGCCATGCTGCCGATGGTCAGGGCATGGATGCTGAGGAAGGTTGCCAGCTGTTGGACAGCCAACGCTTCACTGCTATTCCCAGCGGCTGGGCCACTGGGAGAGAGCCCGGTGCTTCGTCTCAGCAAGTCAAGCTGCCAGGGCGAAGGGGGCAGCAAGCCCCCCCCGCCACGCAGGTTCAGCAGCGTGTCCCATCATGGCAGGGGCACCGATCGGTTGGCAGGCGGCGAGGACATGTTCACCATCAGCAGCAGGGCTCTGTCGAGGTTGCGCTGCCCTCTCTCGAATGGGGGAAAAAGGACCCGCGCCCCTACAACCAACCAGGGGTATGGCTGCGCTCTCTGCTCTCTCTCTCAGGCGCCACTGTGGCACATGAGCGAGCGCCTCGTGGCCAACAAATAACAAGGTAGCCTGGCGACGAACCAAACTTATCTAGATAGAGGGCAGATGTACGCAGGACGGCTCAATACACGAATGCGTTCAAGGATCTGCAATGTCCCCGACAACCTCGCCAATGTCGGTCAGACCGCGAATAATGCCCCCCGTTCATGCATACATTCTCACAGGTCGACTCGCAATGGGGAGATTTACGATGAACGGGGCGTGGAGAAGGGGGTGCCCAGTTGTAAGTTTTGCGATGGTGTCGCCCTTCACACATTAACAGGAACCTCGGATAAACATGCGGCAAATGACAGCTGGTGCGCGTGAAGGCCACGAAACGCGTGGGGGGGGTATGCCGAAATGGGCGGGGCGACGCTATGCGAACGCACACGTTGGGGCCCTAGGTGGGGCTATTTAAGGGGCAGGAGATAGGTGAGTGGTGTGTTGGCATGGGAGGGGCGACGCTATGTTAACACACCCTGTCGAGGACCTCGTTGTAGTCCCTTGGGGGACAAGAAACGTGCGAGGTTATGCCGACACGGGCGGGGCGACGCCATGCGAACGCAACCACTGGGGCTCTCGGTGGAGCTCCTTGGGGGCAGGGCCTGTTTCATGGGGTGCGCCGACATGGGCGGGGCGACGCCATGCGAACGCAGCCTTGCGAACCTTCGGAGGAGCTCACTGGCGGGCATGATACGCGCGCGGGATGCGCCGAAATGGGCGGGGCGACGCCACGCGAACGCATGATTTTGGAGGCCCTCGGATGAGCTCCTTGCGGGGCAGGACTTGTGTGAGGGGTGTGCCGAATTGGGGGGGCGACGCCATGCGAACGCAGGATTTTGAGGCCCTCGGATGAGTTCCCTGGGGGGCTTGAAACGCGCGAAGGGCGTCACCGACAATTGCATTATTCATGATGCTCTTCCTGACGGACCACGTGACATCACCATTGTCCTATACTACCGTCCACAGCCGGATGCAAATCCCGAAAGCGCTGTACGCTCGCATGTTGCCGGACAAGTACGGTGCAGTACCCATGATACCGCGTATACCCGACCGCCATCAGGAACATAGAAGCAATCTCGACTCCACACACTGGGAGTGACCACGCACTGTCACCCGCAATATCGCCGCACGAAACCTTACACTTAATGAGCTGCGGCCGAACCACGAGCACAAGACGCACTTCGTAAAGAGTACAACAGAAGCAGGCATGGATGCTCGATGCGGTCATGGAACGCGACGATGTTGTCCGCAACGCACAGAAATAATCCAAAACGGTTCATGTTGCCAACATCCATGTCTTCTGTCAAGCATGCAGAATCACCACCATAACTCCAGAATTCAAAAGGACGCGTTGTGGGTAAGGGCGACAACGTGAAAGATGAGCGCGGCCTGGCCGCCGTATTCGCCGACGCTGCATCCAGCGCCTCGCGCATTGAGGCCTCAAAGCTATGCGACGCCACAGCGTTGTTGCCCGGCAACGGCGGCGAGCAGAGTGATGCCCCAGGGGCATATATTCAGGCCCTATTCTACGGCGACGGCCGGATCGATCCTGCGGATACATGGATTTATTTACCCAAGTGGCGGCAGCCTACATTTTGGGCTCAATACAAGAATCTTGCATGCCGACTACGCCTCGCTCTCTACGGCCATCCATTGGCAGGTGTTTTTTGGGAGAGTCATTGTCGTACTTGCCCAGAGTCAGTTGGATTCCGCCCTATCCCTGGATGGGAACGCGCATGTAAACATGACAAGCTGAACCTCATCGTGTCAGCCTACGTTAATGAATTCAAAAAGGCGGGGCCCACAGCCAACCTCAAATTAGGATGGGATTTGATACGACACCGTGGAATCGATATAAACCCACCTACACCATACGACCACTACTTGGGGTGGTCAGGATACACGGCAGATGCTACATAGCGTTTTCGCCAAACGCATGGCCAGAATCCGACCCATGTTCCCAGAGCATGACACCAAACAGTATACGTCGGCATCGAAGGTTAGTGGGATCCGACACGATATGCTTGGCTTTCTACCGACTTGTGCATCACACGATATTTAGAACGCGTCTCCGAGCTATTCCAAGCTACCCGGGACGCCTGGCTCACGTAAGAAGGTCAGCATCGCCCAAGCCACGTGCAACCCAGCCTCGATATCGTGCGCCGGTTGATAAGTCCGCATCTAGCTATTGTGCGTCGGTTGATCTCTTATTTAGAAAAATTGAAAATTGAGAAGAAATACGAAGAAGAAGAATAAAAAAAATGTTGCACGCATTACCTACCACGATCTTCAACATGCCGACACCCCCGGTATTGAAGATATTTCATTCTCGGATATGGATCACAACGACGCAGGCACTCGCGGCCCTGATGCTGCCAGCGTTAATGAAGATCATGTGCCTGGCACGGTGCTGCAGGTTGGACCTCGCGCACCCAGTCTGCATGCTCGCACGGGAGACCATCCAGTGGAACTGTGTTTGCGACAAACGTCTGCGTCGATTGGTCCGTCACGAGATATACACGCCCACGCGGTCTTCATGGGCGGATTGGCGGTTGATCAGACCAAATCCCGATCATGCTTTCACCGACGCCACATTTGCGGATTGCGCCAGCAGCTCGAAGTCGACCATTGGCGCGCTCGCAGCGCTGGCGGGCCCTAACAAGGTTTCCCCGCCCAATTAAATTCTGCATGCAAGAAGCAGACTGTGGCGTCGCACTCATCCACAGAGTCCGAGATTGCGGCTCTCGACGCGGCTTTGGGCGCGGAAGGTCTACCCCTCTTTTCGTTCTAGGAGGTCGCGGTGCAAGACGTGGCCCGCAGGGCCCGCGGCGCGCCCGCGGCCGCCTGAAAGAAGCGACGCAAAACACAACCAAGAAGGGCTGCGCCCACGCGAGATTCTTCCCCAGGCGCCAGGGCATCGACCAGAGCTACCCCACCATCCCCAACACCATCATCCAACATCACGCACGATGACATCGTATTTCATGCTCCTCGCCCCCCACCCAGCAAGCCCCCCCCCCCCCCCCCCCTTGGTGCATCTCATTCCTGCTGAGGATAACGAGGCCGCGATTGCGATCGCCCAAAAAGGACGGACACCAGCACTTCGTCACTTACATCGCACAGGTCGCATCAATTTGGATTCGACCACGGAAACACGCGAGCAGGGACAGACCCCAGCGCGCAGGCACTAAAGAACATGTCGTTGATATGATGACCAAACATTCCGAGCCTAAGAAGGCCCATCGTTGGCAATATTTATTTGATCTCGCTCATCTTCCTCGTTGCCGCGAAGACCGCGAG